GAGAGAGAGAGAGAGAGAGAGGGTGAAATTCACTTGCGGCTTGAGACATCTCGTGCATATTTAGACATCTTATCTCGATGAAATCCACCTGCAGCTTGAGATACCCCCATAAAGATTCACCTGCAGCTTGAGTTATCTCGGTAAAAATTCACCTGCAGCTTGAGACACCCCCATAAAGATTCACTTGCAGCTTGAGTTATCGGGGTAAAAAATGCAGCTGCAGCTTGAGTTATCTGGGTAAAAATGCACCTGCAGCTGCAGCTTGTGTTATCTCGGTAAAAATGCACCTGCAGCTGCAGCTTGAGTTATCTCGGTAAAAATGCACCTCCAGCTGCAGCTTGAGTTATCTCAGTAAAAATGCACCTGCAGCTTGAGACATCTTGTCCAGAGAAAGTCACCTGCAGAAGATGCTGGAATTCACTTGCAGCAGGTAAAAGCACAGCATTCCCCACGATCCACCAGTACAGCTTTGATGCATTGCCTGCTGTTGTGCCAACTGGCAGGCTGATGGTCATTACGACGGTACGTTCTGGCTCATCCGACTTGTGTGCAAAGCTGTAAACGTCAATCAGGTGCCCCGACCTCCAGAGCAGCTTGAGTGAGCCATGAAGGCCTTCCGTGCGGCCATAGCAACGCATCCCCCCTGGCGGTTTGCCTGCCAACTAGCTGATCAATGCAACAGCTGACTTTTAACATGTCCCATGTCGTCGTGTGTTTAATAGACTTTTATTTAATGAATGAATGGTTTGCAGGAAGCCTACATGAATGTCTGTTAGTTAAGCGGGAGCATGACTTAGGAATAACAATTTTTTTTTTCTACCAATGCGCAGTACTACTTCAATCATGTGGTCAAAGCTCCAGTGCAACTCGACCCATGGCCCGCCGTGAGCCATAACAGTGACCGTCTACGGCGATTGGTCGGCCGATCAGCTGATCGAACGACTTCAGATCAAACACGGTCGATGGCACGGATTGCCCTCCCACTCCCTCCCCCAATTGCTGGTTGAAATCACTGTCAAACAAGGCCCCATCCCATCCGACGCTGACCATATCCCTACACATGACGCCATCTACTGCCGCCGGGTTGAAGCTGCTGAGGAGCAGGTTCATGTAGGATTCCATCTCCCCTTTGCGATACAGATAGTCGGCGAACCTTTTGATTGGCGTGACAGTGAACAGGTTATTAAAGGTTATGCCGTACGCCTCGAACAGTTTCGTCTTGTAGGCTGCCTGCAAGACATCCTGTGCCGCAGGAAGGAAAGCCCCCAAGGGGTTGTATACCAGATCAAGCTGCAGAGGGGACCCTTCTTTGCCATAACCCAGAGAATTTAGCATCTGGAGGGCTGCGATACTCTTCTCGAACACCCCTCCGCCTCGTTGCTCGGAGACGTTCACCGCGGTGTAGCAAGGGAGGGAGGCAACAACACGAACCTGATTCTCAGCAAGGAAATCGGCTAGGTGTTCTGTGCCTTCCACGAAGAGAACCATCAGATTACACGGATCTATCACTTCCTTTCCGAGTTGTCGGGCCTCTTTCACAAGGTATCGGAACGCAGGATTCAACTCCGGAGCACCGCCAGTCAGATCTACAACGGCGATCTCTTTGCTCCTCTCTAGGAGATTAACGATATGCTCTGCCGTCCTGTGATCCATCATCTCGGTGCGCAGAGGAGAGCTTTCCACGTGGCAGTGAGCGCATGCTTGATTGCAATACAGCCTAATGTTGAGTTGCAGCGTGCCAACGCTCCTCCTCTTCAGAGGTCCCAGCCCCAACGACGACAGAGTTTGATAGAAACTCAGCACCCCCGTGCCCTTCAATGACCGCATAGCACTCTGATCTACTTTACCAGATGCTGCACTTGTTGAGAGGGGAGGTACCACCTCCTTCTCCTTCTCCTCCTTCACTGGTTGCCCTAGGCCGCCGGAGCTCAAGGCACCGTCTTTCTTTGATGCAGTTGCAGCACAAGCAATGCTAACTTTCCTAAACAAGGTTGTTTTGTGCATGTCACCTGCCAGTGCTGCTGACCATGTCCTCAGTCCGTGTGGATCCAACTTTCCTAAAACGGGCTGTTTTGTGTTTACCCGCATACCCAATGTCCCCCTGCATCCCCTAAGCCCTTGCTGATGCTGCTGGCTCTGCAACCTGAGGGGGCTAGGATGGGACCCCCTGCCGACCCCCCTTGTATACCCATGCGCTTTGTTATGATAAKCCATATGCTTATCCGCAACAACATCSGGATCTGACACGTCAGAGAGCCCCCAACCACCGCCCAACAGCGAGGATGAACCTGAGAGCACTCGCACCTCGAGCTGCAGTTTCGGCACAACTGACGATCCCAGTCCTGCGGCAGCTGAAATCTTCTCCACATAGTCACCACCCGTCTCTCCCCTTCCTCCCACAACAAGCCTGCAGCTTTGGAATGCAGTTGCAGGCAGAACTCTGGCAGCAGTGAGCTGCTGCCGCACGCCATTGCCTCCCGCCATAGCTACTCTGCTATTACACAAGCCACCATAGAAGAAGAAACCGCAGAGGAAACTGCCAGTTGCATTATCGCTCTTTTCCTCAGACCATACAACACAGGTTACAAGCTTTTATCGAAATCTCTCTCTCTCTCTCTCTCTCTCTCTCTCTCTCT